TTCTACAGTATCGGCCTTGCACCGTAGTTGCCGAAGAATGGAGTCATGGACTGAGACTGATCGCCCAAAACGTGTTCTTAGGCTACCAAGACAATATTAGTTGCATACAATATCATTCAGAGGTCAAGGTCAAGGTCAGGTCAGGTCAGGTCAGGTCACCAAAAAACAAAATATAGAAAAGGGCATGTGCGACACATGTTTTATGGGTCATTTTACTCATAGAATTCAATAGGCACACTCAATAAGTGATATGGACCACCTCTGGATGAATTTCAGGTCGAGGTCAGGTCAAGGTCAGGTCAAGTGAGGTCAAATTTTGAAGTTGGTTGTTAAGGCCTAAAAAGGTGTCTATCTGATGCAGTTTTTCACGGCGAATCGAATGGTGCTATTTTTGTTTCCGTACGAGGTCTAGAACTTCCAAAAAAGTCATTTTTCAAAAATTTTGTGTGTCGTGACGTCATAAAATTTTGAATAACTCCCACATTTTTGAACCGATTCTTCTAAAATTTGGTATGTAGGTGCGCATAGACCACTTCTCTGACATATATTCCGGTTTTTTCGATAGACTCAAAATTTTGGATTTTATAATGATTTTCCCAAAAAAATCAGTTTTTTGAAAAAATTTAGGCCAAAATCCAAAATTTTCAAAAAACCGAGATAGCCATTTGATAGACAAAGTAAAATTACGTATAACCTTTTTTGTTACGTCTTGATTCCTTTAAAAATGAAGATGTTAGCGGCGTTTGAACTTTTGCCGTTTTTGAGGCGAAAATGGCGAACATGACGTCACTAAAACGTCAATTTCTCAAAAATTTTCCGACGGATTTCGCTCAAATTTTCAGGGAAGGTGTCAAATTGATGTAACAAAAGGTACTGAAAGTTTGGCGGCGCTGCGCGCCGCCGTTTTTGAGATATCGCAAAAATTCGCGAGGGGGGGGTAAAATTTACCCCCCCCCAGCCCCGCGCGGGTTAATTACTTGTTGCTTTCACGGCAAGATGCGCAACTCAAGGCTAGGTAGGTACTGACAATTTGACTAATAGAATGATAACGACGCGAGATATTTGCGAAAAACAGGAGGGGTGGGCGAAATTTGCCCCTCGTGTCATTGACAACGTCGACCAAAGAGGTCAGTATCGACTGTCAAACGACCTTCGTCAAATCATAGTTTTCTTTTACCATAGATAACATGAATCATGTTATCTATGCTTTTGCATTTAGCGTGCAGGCTTGCCTACACAATACAAAGCAAATAAATTCTGCAACATGTAAATCTTTGCGTGGAAAGCCTATTTGACCTAACCGAACAAAACATTCATTTAGGAACAATGGACAGGACATGATTGATGGTCTTTAATTCGTTTTGCCATTCGACAAAGCAGATTCGCGTTCGTAAGCCGATGAAGCCTTTAGCCATTAAAACGAACGTCTCATATTCCTTTAGTTACATACCCAATAAATCAATAATCATAAGTCCCTTTGGCATTCACTCAAATGTCCCCCTGTTAATGTCCGCATGCTAAATAGCATTTGGATTTTCATCTTAAATAAAATACCTCGGCAAATATTTATGCAAGGAGGATAAACATGCTAACGTTTGCACAACATTGCAAGGTACGTGCCAGCTCGTATGCCAGTCATCAGTCTTAATGGCGATATTTGCTCACCAGTCACCGTTACAGGGAGGGCCGGAAATGAACGAGTGATGATGCAAACATTTTGTTGAACCGACAACATGCAGGTCGGGTACAAATATTGAGCAAGGCTTTTATTACGACAAACACAATTGCAGTTTAAGTTTTTTTTCTTCTAAGCTATGTTGATAGCCAGACTTTGAAAAAAAAAACTGTATTTTGTTATGTTTCGTACGAATTCCTGCCAAACCAGCCTTAGGCCAGCCGAGTTCAGTAACATATCAACCAGCAGTAATGAGCCTTGCCGGCGACCGTAGATCTCCACAGATGGACTACAAAATGTGCAGCTTCCCGGGCAGGCAGGTAGGGATCTGCTGGCCTTCAGAATACGGAAGCTGCGCTAAACACGCGGATCATGTGGTCGCACATAACCCATGAACATGACTCCGCCAACGAGAAAAGGGGGAAGCGTCTCCCGGCTCGTTGGTTTTCATTTTTACCCGAGCAGCCGTCGAGCGTTACATAGAAAGAATAAGTTTCAAACGGTCTCCGTTCCCTTCAATCGCTGATCCGTGAACGCGACAACGAGACAACCATCTTGTCAGGACTGAGACTGGGAAACAGAAAGACATGGAGACACAGGGACATGACAGTTGGGACAGGAGACAATGTCCTCCATGTTACGTAAGCCAGATACTTATCTCCCCGGGTGCCCAAAAATAGATTACCGAGGAATTCTGGTACCGAGCCGCGCTGACGAGTGACAAATAACAAGTGCTCGAGATGTGGTACATTGGTTTTAGATAAGGGTCTCTTCAACCACCGGGAGAAGACGCCGTACCTACCTGAGATCTAACGATTTCCATTCCTCCCAGTCGCCCAAATGTTCGGACTACGGAGACTTCACGCCTACACGGGTGTAGTTTAATAACACAGCTTTAAACAGTTCATCTTTTTAAATAAATTAAACGGCAGAACTCAGGAATGCTGTGTCTTCACTGGTGGTCGTGCGCACCATTATCATAGTGCTGCATAAAGCATAAAGCACGCGCATCGCATACTGCATCCCTAACGACTAACGTAAATTTCAGAACAATGCAGCTCGTATGAGGATTGATGCATCGAGTTGAATAAGACATCGAATTGAAAACAAATTGCTGAGCATGATAAGGTTTTCATGTGACCATGAACGTCTTCATGACATCAGGTGAAATGAATAAATGAAAAGAACACGCAACATTATATGAAATAGGTATAGTGATGGAAAGCAGATTTACATGTCAATGAACTGAGTGCGTTATCGCCATGACAAAACATCATTTCCGTTTGTTTGATTTAACAGCTAGCAATGGGGCATTTAAAAAGAGCACACATTATTGAAAGTTTCCCGATATAATACAAAAATATCGCAGCGTATTAACCCTCGCCCCGCTGGGGGGGGGGGGGCAATTTGGCCCCCTCCCCCTGTGGTTTTTCCTGAATAGCAAGAAAACGGCGGCGCGCAGCGGCGCAAATTTTCAGTACCTTCCCGGGCGTCAATTTGACACCTTCACACAAAATTTCAAGTCTTAGGTCACCTCGAGGTCAAACTGAGGTCATGTTCGAGCAAAAATGAGCAAAAAACATGAAATCTTGAAACACTCATAAAAGCTACAGTTACTAAGCAATTTCAAAGTTCTTTATAAGGTCATGTAGACAAAAGGCGGCGCTACAAAACTGCCATCTCGGATTTTCAAAATTTTGGGATATTGACCCCCAAAAATTAAAAAAAATGATTTTTTTTTCTAGAAAAACGCAAAATAAATCCCAAAAGTTTTCCGATTTAAAAACCGGAATACAAGAATTTAGATCGATGCCTCCTTTTTTGGCCAAGTTTTAGCGAAAAAAAACTGTTCAAAATTGATGACATCAAATTTTTGAACTCAATTTTTAGCAATTCTAGACCACGTAGCGCAAAACAAAGACCACCATTGAACTCCCCGTGATGAGCTGCATCGAATCGATAACCATTTTATGCAAAAATATCAACTTTGAAATTTGAAGTAATTTGACCTGACCTTGACCTGACCTTCACCAAAACATAATCTAAACTGACCCCAAAGACTGCCTGACCCACATAATTGCATTTGGCATATAAAATGGACCATAAAACATGCATCACATGATATTTTCATATTGTGACCTCCAGTGACCTGACCTCTGTGACCTGACCTGGTAGCAGTGACCTCAAACAGCAAAATATGTGTTTGACGAACATTTCTCCATCGATTATTTTCAATGAAATGCATTTTAATCGATTTTACAACGCATTTGTTGAAATGCCTGGAAACGGTGAAAATTCGACATTTGACCTGACCTGTGACGTCATTGGTTTGACCTAGGTCAATGAAATTGGGTCACAAGGTAGTTCCCTGTTGGGTCTATCCAACACCGTTTGCCAATGAAATTGGGTCACAAGGTAGTTCCCTGTTGGGTCTATCCAACACCGTTTGCCGCTTGTCGCTATGTTGCGTGGTTCTCGAGATCTGGCAAATTCCCCCCCCCCCCCAACAGGGCGCGTTGCTCGGCAGACCCCAACGGGGCGCGGGTTAATTAAAGGGACCCTCCCACCTTCAAAAAAGTTAATGAATTGGCACGAAAGTGATGTCGCTCGGTTCAGAAAGAGCGAAAACGAATATCTACCAAATTTCATCGAAAAATATTCACCGGTTTTCAAGATATTTGACTTTTACTTTTGTTTACTTTTTGGGATCTCCGCTGTTCCTAGCGATTTTATTTGAAAGTGTGGCATTTGTTGCGCGCAAAGCAGCATATACCACCGCGTGCTACCAAACGTTTTAGTAAAAGATTTAAAAATCGTTAGATCTCCACTGACGTCACAAATTCTAAGGGGGCATACCAATGCACTAGCCCCTTAGAATCCGAAAACTGCAAGTTTGAAATTCCATATCTCCGAATTAAAGCATTTGTCGATGTTGTGAGTGCCCAAACCGGTATTTGCAGGCCATGGCCACCAATTTGGCTATCTCAACTCAAAACTAATGTTAAGGTGGGAGTGTCCCTTTAAGTTATGCAGCATTATAGGTACTCACTTTTACATTGCATTCTATCGTAATTTATCAATTATTCATTGCCTTCCCTTTTGCAACCCTTCCACTTATCTCCCAAAACATGTTTTGTTATTGCCTACTCTTGACGTTAATTCATAAAAAGGTGATGCGTTCCTGTTCACCTTGTCAATTATGTACAGTACAGTGCAGTGTTCGATAAGGTCTCAGGGCGGCCGCGCTGGGGACCGACTGGTCGCGGCTCGTCAGGCCGCAGGGCGCCGGACCGGCTGCCGCCGCGGAGGAACGCGCGCCGCTGCCGTGCGCCAGTCTTGGGCCGGGAGGTGGGCAGATAGGGCAGCCGGTGGTCGCGCCGCGCCGACCAGACCAGCGGGCCAGCGCACCAGACCAGCGGACCAGCGGACCAGACCAGCGCACCACCGTACCAGCCGCGACCGGGCCCACTCCGAGACCAGGTCAGTGCCGCCCCGCGCGCCATCACACACCCCGCGCCCCTGTCGCTTTTTGTCAAAAGCACTCATCCTAACACTGCTCCACTCTCTAACTCCACTACCGATCAGGAGCCCATCACAGAGCCATCCAGGAGCTCCTCTTATCGACGTCATGACGACCAAGGTCGATGAATGCGATACAACTCTCACTGGGCTGGCCCCACTGGGACTCGGCTGCGGAGAGGTCCCGTATGCACGACGACACGTTGACGGAGATAAATCAGCAGCAGCCCTCCACCCAGTTGGTGGCTGGACGCGTGCCAAGCCGCCCAGCCGAGCCGTCTTCAGCTTCTACAACTGGTCCTCGGGAGTAGTGCTGGTCCTCTGTTTCGGTAAAAGTAACCATTAATGCATGATTGTCGACAGTCGACTCAAAAGTCACTTTCATGGCCAAGTGATCAAACTCAACCAGGTAAGCGCATATGTAGGTACATTTCCCATTAGGTGTGAGGAACGAATGCTGGCGCGTCTGAGCTGACCTGTGAAGTTGCCATTTGATTCATGACTTCAAAACTGGCTATTAATAGCTTCCTCGTAAAGAAACAGCAAGCTGGTTTTCATGGCGATGAAGCCTGGCCTCATCAGGGTCCAGAATCGAGGCATCTATTCTCACTAGGCCTTCACTGTTGATGCCGGTTGCAATTTCGATCGGTTAGTCAGTCTCGGTCTTCAGCTCTGCCCTATCACAGCTAACAAGTGCTTCTAATGAGACAAGACGTTTTAACTAACTCGGCCTGTCCCATGAATTGATAGCTCGACGTTCCGATGAGGTCCGCATATTCCGCGACACAATGCAGTTTCGCCAGCCGTATGACCTCAGCTCAGGCGCCGCTCAGAAGGCCCCCGCTCAGCTTAGCAGTGTCCGTGAGCTGGCTCACTGTTCCAGCGACCTCAGCTTAGCTGCCACTCCAGTAACCGCAGCTCAACAGTTCAGTGACCTTAGCTGAGCAGTGCAGTGACCACAACTTAGGTCTCTACACATCCAGACCCAAATGACCTAAGAATCTCCTCGACAGTCCAGTGACCTTAAGTCAGCATTTCAGTGACCTTAGCTAAGCAAAACTATGCGGTGTCATGGCCGCAACCCATCAGTGCAGTGACTGCAGCTCGGTTACCAATCCAGTAACTACGACGAACAGTTGGATACGAGCGATTGATATATGTCTGACAGATGACAGGCCATTTTAACATTCAACCTTGATCTGAAAGAAAAACTCCCCAGCAATGTGAAAAACTTAGTCACCGGTACTCATAGGCATAAATCTTAGGAGTTTGAGCTTCACAATGCTGAACTGGATCGGTAACAAGAACAAGAGTGAATGCAGCAAAAACCATGAACAAGGGTGGATGCATTAAAAAGACATGAACAGGAATGAATGAACCAAACGCTATTCCTTTCTTGATACCCAGCTATACATAGTACACCATTTTAGGAGACTTACTTAAAAACGAAAAAAAAAACTTGCAAGAAAGGAGCTTTAACAATCAATTAAGAGCAGAGCGCCTGGTGACTTTTTATCTTGCGATTGATAATTTAGCAGTTTTATACATAAATAATACTTGTGACTTAAGCGTTCCAGGAAGCAAGTATGCCATTAGTACTCGCTTCGGTTTTCATAATGAGTCTCATGGCCAAAAAAAAACTGCAATAAAGCATATATAGATGCAGAGTCTGGACCATGGATCAATCCAGCTTCGACAGCTAGATGTCCTCAACTCAGAGTTTGGGCCCTGTCACGCGATCCACCGACCTCTGCCAGCTGCGCGATCCAATGAACTCCTGCCTCTCGATCCAGTGGACTCCCGCCTCGCGATCCAGTGGACTCCCACCACGTGATCCAGTGGACTCCTGCTGCGCGATCCAGAAAACTCCTGCCGCGCGATCCAGTGAACTCCTGTCACCTGGGCTGACTCAGCAGTGGTAGCTCGGCACGGGTCGGTCGGCGCGGGCCGGTCGGCGCGGCCAGGGGCAGGGCAGCTGCAGGCTGACCTGGTATACTGATCTGCCGCCAACCGGTCTGGTGCGCCGCTCCGTGCCGACGGCCCAGGACGACGCGCCATGTCCGTTAGTGGGCCGATCGCGGCTCCGACCGACCCGGGCCGGCCTCAGCGGACGGCGGCCGCCACACCGGGCCACCCGGGAGGCGCCGACACAGCGGACCGCCTCCGCAAACAGCCGGCCGGGCCACCTCACCGTATAATATACCATTTTAGATACCATTTGCTACCCGGCCCACGGGCCTGAGAGGAGCGTCCCGTGCCCATATCGGGGCACGGTGTTGGTGTTACGAGCCCAGCTCGCACCGCTCGCACCTCGGAGCGGTCCAGCCGGCCCGTTTCCGGGTCAGCCGGCTCGCTGACGGACAGGTGTGGTAATCGCTCAGCTGGTGACAGCCCAATCCAGCCGATTTTACATGAATGTAGACAAGCTAGATCGCTGGGTTATCCACAAAGGAGACACGGCGCCTCTGCGCTCCGTTTCACGCGTCACGCCCAGGCCGCCCACGGGGTGCCGCGACCGTTTGGCCACCCGCTGGCCACGCGCCACGGGCCGCCCTCACTGCGGCGACCGTTTTGCCCACCCGCTGACCGCTCGACCGTCCGCCTCCGTTTAATCACATACAGATTAGAGCGGATGACGTGCATCTACATAAATACATCTACACTGTCTGAGGTACCCGAGTAACAAAAGACAGTGATCGCAAAACAACGGGTCAGGTTACCAGCTTAAGATCTTAACTCTACGGACGATTAGACTATGTAATTAGGCAATCGTGCATACTGGGCATATTCGATTATCAGCTGTCGTTGCTTAGCTAGGATTAGCACAAATCCGAGCGCAGAAATGTTTTATCCATGTAACAATGTCGCTTATTCACGAAAAACAACACGCCAATCGCATATGGAGAAAGCAATGCGATTATCCTCCCCTCTCAGCAAATGAGGTTTGAAATAACCTCGGCACCTATTCCAGGCCACCCTTCGCCTGGCTGGAAGCGCGACTCGATAATCAAGTGGACCTTGGATAGCTCGCTGACAGCAGTTCTGAGCTAGGAGGGAAATGATAGGTAATTTGTATGTCCGTTTGTTCACCAAAGGTTACCCAACAAACAAGGAGGGACCACTCAGGTAAGCTGTTTCAACATATCTCGACGACGTGTTCAGTGTTCAATCTTCAGATACCTACATATTGCATCCAACACAACAAGGATTGCTACATGTTACGGTTTACACCGCAAATACAGGCGCTAGGATATGGAAATCAGCACCCCGCATGCAACCAATAACTATTAACCATTAAACATAGTTTACTCAATAGCATATTCAACCACTGACATATGCAACAACTGTGGCGTAATAACCACAAACATATTTGCCAACATAATAACCACTAATACACTTTACTCCATAGCACTTAAATACGCATGCCACGAAATTTCGGGTTTGTCAAAAACCTCGGAAATTTCCTGCTTCTCACAATGCCATCGATTTAAAATTTTCAAACATATTTGATACGGACCTAGAACTAGCAGCCTTGCCCACATACAAAATACAATTTAGGTACAGAACTATGAAAATGGGATACAAAGGTTTGATCCCCATAATTGAGAATGCAATGAAACGCCAGGAGTTCCCTAACGCCAGGTATTAACCTTCCAGGCGGTGGGGGGGGCATTTTTTTGCCCCCCCCCCTTTAGTTTTTTCGATATATCTCGAGAACCGCTGCGCCGATCGTCACCAAACTTTCGGTACCCTCCCGGGAGCAGCTAGCGCACATGGTGACCAAAAATTTTTCCATAGGCTATGATAGGTTGGCCGCTAATGACGTCAGAGTGACGTCATTTTTGCCATTTTCGACCCAAAAAAAAAGTTTCGCGGGAAGAGCTGTCAGGCCTACAGCTTTAGAGATATAGAAAAATGTTTCAGACATAAAAGGTGTAGAATTAGAAGGGCTACAAAACTGCTATTTCGGTTTTTCGAATTTTTTGGATTTTGACCCCCAAAAATCAAAAAATAGATTTTTTGAATATAATTGCCAAAAAATCCAAAAAGTTTTTTGAATTTCGAAAAAACCGGAATATATGTGATAGCCCCTACCGCCTTCTACCTACATACCAAATTTGAAATCGATACCTCTTTTTTGGCCAAGTTATAGCGAAAAAACTGTTCAAAATTGATAACGTCAAATTTTCAAACTCAATTTTTAGCAATTCTAGACCTCGTAGCGCAAAACAAAGACCACCATTAGACTCCCCGTGACGAGCTGCATCGAATCGATACCCATTTTATGCAAAAATATCAACTTTGGAATTTGACCTTTTTTGACCTGACCTTGACCTGACCTCCACCAGAAAGTGACCTAAACCGTACCTGATGGTCTTATAACCAACACCATTGAGTTGGAAATGAAAAACTGGCCATAAAACATGCATCGCATAACCTTAGTAAAGTTGGGCTCATGTGGTGACCCTTGGTGACCTTTGGTGACCTGACCTGTGACCTGACCTGGTATGACCAGTGACCTCTAATAGCAACATATATACTAGACAACTGACGCCTTATCGCTGATTTTCGACAAAATGCGTTTTACTCGGTGTTATAGCGCTTTCCCTAGAAGCCCCGTGAACGGTGAAACATTTTATCTTTGACCTGACCTGTGACGTCATCGGTGACCCCGAGGTCAATGAAATTTGGTTTCCCTCGACAAATTTGACAGGGCTATCGAACGCCGTTTGAATTTTCCGGATCCGTTCAGTAGTTTCGGAGATACGGGGGGGGGCAAAAAAGTGCCCCCCCCCCCACCGCGTGGAAGGTGGCTGGTAGGCCCACCGCCTGCCGGGTTAAGCGACTAAAAAACGACCACTTCCACGAAAACGTCCTGACAGGAAAAAAACGACGATATTCCACGGTTCTCTCCTGCGCGACATGAGCATAACCTAATTGTGATGTCCTGTTAATGAATCACATTAATAAAGATAGGTGCTTGAGCTGTGGGAAAAGTTAAAGATGATTGGATCAGACGATAAAAAGTTAAAGAGATAATCGCTGAAAACGGTACTCTGACCTCTGAAATTCGCCACAGCAAACATTCCAGCCATCAGATGCCTTTTGTGGCGACAGCCTCTCACATAACACGCCTTTCACATAATGTCACTCCCGTCGCGCAGGCACTCGGGGCCTTTCAGCAGCCGTGTGGCGGCCGGGTGAGGCACCTGCACCTCTGTATGATTGATGTGCTCGTCGAGTCCGATCACCCGTCCCCGGCCGCGATAGAGACGGCTGGGTAAATCTCAGCGGCCGTGACCCCTGACTGGAGGGTGAGATCATCTGCTCAGCATCACCTGGGCCTCAGCGACCTGAGCAACAAAAACGGACTGCGCCGGGCCGGCGCGGCGGCCAACTCATCATCGCAGCACACTGACGACACAGAGAGAGCGAGCCCTCCCAGCCGGACCTTTAACAACACTCGAATCACGCTAGAAAACACGGATGAAAGCGCCATCCTTAACTCAATGGCTCGGACGAAACGAGACCAAACGAATGCGGTTTCGTGCCGGTCTATCACGCCAGCGCCGGCGGCCGGGCGCTCGATTTAACACGGAGCATAATTAGCCCAGGTTAAACACCGGCAGTACACTAACTGCCATTTGAGCGGGCCGTTAGCGAGTGATGTGAATACCAACGAGGCCGGCAATTCCGGCTGACCACAGCTGCCGCCGCCCGGGGTCAAACGGCCGGCGGTCGTCTGATCGCAATGTGCCTGCCGGCTGTGAGAGATACCGATCGGAGCGTCGGCCACTCCTTGGGAGAGAACGTTCTGCGCCGGAGATCAGTGCAGCGGCTGCCACGTCACCACCTGATGAGGCGGTGAGGCACTGGTAGACACCCAGCCGGTCTCAGCAGCCGGCGGAACAGTCTGTGGTCTGTGTGACATGACAGCGGTCAGCGCGACGACCCCTCCTGGCCCTCCATCCTGGAGTCTTCCAGCGCTCCAGGGCGCTGCCTGATCCTCAGTGATCGTGACGGATCCGTCACCGCCACCTCGACCCTCTCGCTGGGACGGCCGGGCTGCTACCGGCGGCCAGTTTGACGACTCATAGCCCACACAGTGGTCTGAGGGACAGGCCGCACCAGATAAAAAGTAGATGATGTTATCTCTGACTTGGTAGTTGTCAAGAATTCGTGGATGTCCCAACCGGAAAATAACGTTCAAGAAGTGACTCCGATAGTGCATCAAAGAAGACCAGGGTCAAGAGCTGGCAAAAAAGAAAAGAATTAAAGGAAGAAAAAATGAGAAGTCGAAACAGGGGGAGAGAGAAAGAGAGAAAAAGAGAGAGAGAGAGAGAGAAGAGAGAGAGAGAGAGAGAGAGAGAGAGAGAGAGAGAGAGAGAGAGAGAGAGAGAGAGAGAGAGAGAGAGAGAGAGAGAGAGAGAGAGAGAGAGAGGAGCAGAGAGATTCACGCTGGTTCATCAGCCGGTGTGGGCGGAAGAGCCAGACGCCGGCCGGATCGCTGTGTCGCGGTAACACGCCAGCAATGCTCGAGGTCAGCTGTGAATTGTGATCCTCCCTCCGCCCCGGCCCGGTCCGGCTGCCGGTACAGTCGAACGGGCACGATCTGATGCGGCGGCCAAGGCCCGTCGGCAGTGCCGTCACTACGCCGGCGTCCTTCGCGGCCGGGCCGGCTCGGCTGGCAGCGTAAATCTGTCGCCGGTAGGCTGCCGGCGGTGCCGAGCGAAGGCCACTCGGTCGGAACGGGAGGCGGCGTCTCCATAGGGCTGCTGGCACAGCGCGGAGCGGCGGCCGACCCGGCGCGTCAGCCACGGGACGGGGGTGGGCACTGGGCAGCACAGCCTGCTGCTGATACCCGGGCCGAGATTACGGCCCAAATGGGAGCAATGACCGAAGGCCGGTTCATGTCGGTCCCCGGTGGCCCGATCTTGGTGGAGTTAAAAAAGAAACTACCCCTTGTTAATCCATGGCTATCGTATCCATAAAGTACCCTCGTAAATCAGCCAAATCCAAAACACTCCTTGTCTGGACTGCCTTTAGGATTCTGCGCTTTTGAAGTCTCTCCCTATAACTACAGATCCCATCACAGCAACAGAAATAGATCACAACCAATGCGATCCAATTATGCCAAAATTACATTGATGTGTATGATACCTATCCGGCGCAATTACCATCTGCCCTCTCAACACGGCTGTTCACCCAGTGGTCGCCAGCTCTCACGACTGGGTTAGTGGGTCCCAATAAACCCTAACGGTATCGTCAAGTCAGCTTTTCTTTAAACATACAGGGGATTTCTGAGACAGGTGCGGCCTTGAAGCCAGAGGACAGGCAGCCGACTGCTGCAATCACAGTGATCTCATCGATCGATTCTCCAAGGCCGCTGCAAACCGACCCGATGAGATCGTGGCATTGCTTGGTGGGTGAGACCGGGCTGAACACAGGCAGTAGTGTCCCACGCGACGGATAATACTGTCATTATTGCTAATTTTTCTCGACCATCGCATCTCGCACGGTTTCTGACTCACAGTTTGGCATGGCTTCCGCGCTACACCCTGGTGTGTGTGTGGGGGGGGGAGGGGGAAGTCATTTTGACCACTCTCCACTTTTTTGCGTGCTTTTGCATATTGTGGGAGACAGCGGAGCAAAGCACCGCACGTTTCGGCATTAACGACCGTATTATCATGTCCAATGAGGAGGTGAAAGCACGTAAATTGATCCCCTTACTATGTTCTCCCAGACCGTGTAGTGATCCTCTGCAGTACAAGGCGTGGCAGACGTAAACTTCAGCGACAATGCTCATAGCGGTTCAGGCAAAAAGCCTGGTAGGTACTTATATTCAAAAACCAAAATCACTAGCACTTACAACCACCCCGACCTTGGCGTGGTTCATAAATAGGTATCATTATTTCATATCATTATATACCCTCATTCTATCATATACATGTAGGGTAAGGGCGGGTAAGAGTACGCGGGCGATAAGAGTACGCATCAGCTGTTTCGGTTGCTTAGCAACGCGGGTTTGTCGAGTTCATGAAGTGACATGAAGCCGCCAGTGCGTGCTTGTCACCAACGGAACGTGGGCGTTAAGCGGCGACGCTGTTGAGTTTAAGGCGATGAATATTATTTTCGAGCGTTATGATATTATTATGGTATGGTACAATAATTTTGATACTTGGCAGTTGAGATAAGGTACATTTCCGTGATTGTTGTGGGAAACTTGTGAGGTTATCTGGGGAAATACTGTGCAGTGCAATATTCTGTTTGCGAAGTTTTGCACAACGTTTCGGGGTTGTTTTGTGCGCGAATTGCATGTACGGTAAGAGGACGCACTGTTCAGGAGGGTAAGAGTACGCAGAATTATACATTAAATCGAATATACAGAAATATAAAATTATTAATCTATCGCTCAATGACGTTTGTTTTGTAGGTATATCATCAATGGAGCACTGTGATGCAGATGCATACCCGAAATTCTTCCAAATACCTACGAGTTATTCTCCCTTTTTATTGTGCTTTTTTTTAAGAAACACGACATGATTATTTCCTGATTTATAGACTTGAAAGATTTATTTTATGTTTTTCTTTTTGGATACTAGAATTAACTTAATGCCTTCTGAGTTTGAAGTTAAGCATTTGGACAGTACAAGCTGCATAGGTGTGTGTTCATATGCTTGCGTACTCCACCCGCCTGGCGTGCGTACTCTTACACACCCCATATGGTAAGAGTACGCAACTGCAGCGGTTCAGAAAATGTCAGTTTTAGACCACTTCCATTTACGCTGAAGGATCGTTGTCCCATGGGTATCTGGCTAATTCAATGAACTTTAATATTCCCTATTTGCGATTTCTTTCTTTCAAATATTAAACAAATGAGAGCAAGAAATCTACTAAGTGCGTACTCTTATACGACTTCACCCTACGACTACACATCTCATATTAATAGGTACTTTAACACTACAAGCTATAATATATATGATTGCATTATCGTTCATAAAAACTATTCGTAAAAAGATTGGCCACATTCCATCACCATAGAATCACAGTTGCTACAGCGCCGTCCCAGCGCGCTCTAAATGCCATGCTTAGTGCCAAGGCGTCACCTCACATTCGCCGGACTGATAAACCAGCCTCTCAGAGGTCCTGCAGTATCATATCGGCCCCCTTCTCGGCTATCATCACCGTGGGCGCGTTCGTGTTTCCCGATGTGACGAACGGCATCACGGACGCGTCCACCACGCGCAGTCGCTGGACCCCGTGCACCCTCAGCCGGTGGTCCACCACGCCACCCACGTGGCGCGGTGCCATGCGACACGTGCTCGTCGGGTGGTACACGTGCCACGTGAAGTGACGCGCCAGACACTCCAGCTGCTGGTCACCGCTGAAGGGGCGACACGCGGGGATGACCACAGGTCGCAGCAGCAGCTCACTGTAAGGAGGCATGGAGGCTAGCCGTGCCATCGTGCGCATTCCCTCGAGCAGGACCTCCATGTCCTCGCGGCGCTCCAGGAAGTTGGGCTGGATACGGGGCGGCGAAGTGGGGTCCGCTGACGATAAACGCACTGTGCCACGACTGCGAGGTCTTAGCACCTGCGCCAGCAGTGAGACACCGTGAGTCGTTTCATTCATTTCCGCCAGCATTTCGTCGAAGAGATCCGGCGAGAGATTGAAGTCTGGCTGGGACCCGGCGCCCATTATCCAGGGGTGGATCAGACAGTGGAATATCTGAATGTCTGGGTAGTCGGGCGACTCGGATAAGGAACTAGTCATGAACAGGCCGCTGCTGCACACGTTAGACGCCATATGTCCCGTGCCATTGGCGAACAACTCCCAGAGGGAGGCCAGGATGTTGGACGGCTGTGGCAGCGGGCTCGTGGGACGGTTCGTGAGGTAAATAAGAGGTGCCCCAACATGTGCGTTAAGACTTTCGCCGACCGGGGCATCCAAGAGAACCGGTATTCCCAGTTCCCTGAGATGATCTGCCGGCCCCACCCCCGACCTCATGAGGACGGTAGGCGTGTTCACCGCCCCAGCCGAGAGGATCACCTCCCACCGCGCTCGCACCGTCAACCGCTCGCCAAACTTGGTGAACGTGACGCCGACAGCCCGCAGAGGATCGCGCTCCAGTTCTACCTTTTCCACGAGCGCATTGGTCACCACATGCAGGTTGGACCGGTCGTGCAGAAAGGCGTCGCTCAGAGCATGTCGCCAGATGCCGGCGCGGTTTGAGTCTGTATAGTACAGACCGGGGCCAGACAAGCTGTTGTAGTCGATCGGCTCGTAGCCAAGCTGACGTCCGCTGGCGATAAACTGGTGGTCCGTTTCGGTAACACCGGCGCCGAGGGCGATCTGCCACGGTCCTGCTGAGCCCAGGTGACTCTTATCACCGTGATAGGATATACTCCGCTCAAAGTAGGGCACCACCTCCTCGTAGGACCAGCCTGGGTTCTCTTCTGCCCAGCGGTCGTAGTCCCGGCGCTGTCCACGAACGTACATCATGAAGTTGAGCTGGGAGGAGCCCCCGAGCAGGCGGCCCATGGGCCAGAAGGAGCGCCGCTGTTGGAGACCGCGGCAGCCGTGCTCCTGCGGCTCCGTCTGGTAGCCCCAGTCGTAGGCGCTGTTGAACTGCAGCGGTCCCAGCGGCACGAACCGGTGCAGCGGCGTCGGCGCCGGCCCCGCCTCCAGCAGCAGCACGCTGAACGTGCCGTTCTCCGAGAGCCGCCCGGCGGCCACCGAGCCGCCAGAGCCGCCGCCCACCACAATGTAATCGTACTCGGCGACGGCCACCTCGCCGCGCTGGATCAGCGTCCACCAGACGAAGTCAAACGCTACACTGACGTAGAAGAGGACAACCACCAGCGCGTGGGTGGCGCCCCGCAGCGTGAGCAAAGACATCGCGGCCGACGGAGGGCCAGCTCTGAAACAACGAGAAGAGACTTTATTGTTGTCTCCTTCGAATTTATTGCTCAAACGTGACTCGAATACCGAAGCGACGCTCAATTCATTAGTTGAACAACAAAATAAATCTATCTATCTATCTATAAAATATTTTGAAGTGAGAGGTGGACATGGAAAGAGATCTAAGCCAACAAGAATGCCAAAGAAGGATAAGGAACAATTAAAAAAAAAAATGAAAAGGAATGAACGCCAATGAATATCTAGATGAAAATGCTGTTGAACCCAGGTTGAACCCATCCATCCGTCAGTGTATCCAAAATGTCACCACGCCATGCCGAAGCGAATGAACAAACCCGACCGCAGTGGCACCGTTCGACGTAGCCATTCCGCTGGAATATCGACGATAGCGGTCCCGGTGTCGATACCCGACGAGTGCTGCCAGTTTTTCGACCGTCAACGAAATGAAGACACGCCGCATATCGTGGCATTGACACTGATTGGCGCATTTCCACAAACTGGATTACTTTCAGCCCGAAATTCACATCCATTTAAACCAGACACCATCGGTTTAATTGTTTTGTGCTTTCGTTTCTAATGAATAAGAAATATTTTGATGAGCATTTATCGGAAAACAGGTAGACGCCTTTCCAGCAATGATAAACTACTATTATCCGATGAAATATCAAACTGAAACTGCATTCGATTAAACGTTTACGAATGCATCTTAAAGAACGTCTCATAATAAGATTCATAATTAAGAAATCTAATGCCATTGAAAACCACGATGAACCCAATGAACTACTAAAGGATACAATCCAAGAGAGATATTTTACGAAGCATAGATTCCCGCAAATTAGCAACATGAACAGAGTATAAAACTTAGCCCCGTGATGATAAAGACAAGACCCGGGGAAGAAGGAAGTAGGAACTTCGTAACTTGGTTAACACCTTATTAGGATATGAGACATCGTTTAATATCAAGAGATTCACGCCACAGGCCTCTGAACACTTTTTTATTCGCAACGCAACGTTTCATTTTACAGGCGAGCCATCCAAGCAATGCCCACCATTGTGACTGACCTTTGGACGGTAAGGAGACAGTGATTCTCCGTGTAGCAGACCGGGTTCCTGTCTTGGCGCTGATCCGCCCAGTAACGGTGCAATTAGCACCAGCAGAGAACCGCTAGCAACAGAGAACACGTGTTCTGTCAACTGTCATTGTCACATTGCTAGTATACGGTTCACCCGACGTAAGAACGCAAAGCTTTTTTATAGGTATAAAATGATATTGGACAATGTTGAAAACACTGATAGGTGACAAGTCAAATTCCCACGCTCCATCGAAACTTAGAGCGCGACATTATTACACTTTGCGATTTTCCATGGTCATCGGTCCTCCATCCATTCTAAGATCATCAATTTCTCTGTCACTCCGATAATCTCGCCTCAGTCGTCAGGCTTATTTTTCACTGTCAGACGGTACGAGCACCATCTGTCAGCCTATGCACACAGATCGTTTTTCTAATCCCCCAGTATAAATGTCTCACCGGGACCCCTGCTGCGCTTCTCCTGTGCCGCAAGAAATCCTGACATTGCACCCTTGACGCGTCAGTTCACCCAGCAAATCAGTGCTGTGTAGTCAGTACGATCGTAAAACCCATAAAGGCCGCCGGGATCGCAAAATAAATCCCGTGACCACCCTCGCCGCCCCGTGATGTTTATGCATGGCAGATCCGTCTTCTTGCAAGGCCAAGATGCATGTTTTACTACGCTGTCATCAGTCTCAACAGCCCCATCAATGGCAAGAAAGCTGGCGTCAGTCCACACCGTGACAATCCCAGTGCCACTCGCCGCCCCATGACTAGTCTGATCTTGATACAAAAACGTCGAGAACGTTTAAACTCAGAATGACTGTGCTATATTGGCAGGGCTGCATTGGCGGAACAAGAAACGGACTGTTTACAATATAGGCTGACCCAGGTCGGGTCAGGCGACAGTCGGATGTTTGGGTAGACATGTGGACAATGGGTCGTTAGATAATAAGGTGCAGTTTCTGCACCCAGTAAGCCCTGCACAAAGCACAGGGCCCAGCATTCAGCAAACCCATTTGAGCATGCCACGGAGCCTCCGAATCAATTTTTCACAGGCCCATCCACAGATCTTCCCACGAGCCCCTACATCCCATCAGATTCCAGAAAAGTGCGACGGCGACGCAGTCGCACTGTGACAGGGTAGCAGTGTCACGTCAAGCAGTGAAAAGAACTCTCCTAGTTAGCCCAGCGATTTCCGAACTAAAAAGGTACCTATTGATATCACGACATCCGATCGTGCTCCTTCTTCAAGGGCATCCCAGGCAGGCCAAGCAGCAGCCAACGAGGGAGCAGTCAGTAGAATCAGCGTCATGTTCCTTAGCGCACGGTTTATGCCAAACAGCCCGTTAGTTCTATAATTGCTTCCTGGCTCTCACGCGAAGCTGACAGACCATATTTTAGACTGAAAAGTAATATTGTCCCCTGCTTCGATTTCCACGCTTTTTTAACGCACACTAACTAAAAAAAAAACACACCCGACAAGTGATACAGTGGCTCAGCTCCTGGCAAACCATTACCGGTGAGCCCCGCCCTTTATCGGCTGTTAACCGCTGAGCAAAATAACTATTTTTCACGGTATCTACGTACCAGGTAACCCTTGAAATCAAACTTTGAAGATTAGTATCCAGGGGCCCGGGAACGATTTTCAAGTTGGGGAGGCGAGCCTAAAATACCTGACATGATGCATATGAAGCAGTGGCGTAGCTAGTGGTCTAAGGGGACACGTACCCCCCCCCCCCCATCGGGTTCAAAGGGACCCTCGGGTCCGAGAGGCCCTGCGGCGCCATTTGACCGCTGAGGGTTAACGATGGCCATATTTCGACTCAGAAGGGCCCCATGGGGCTCGTTAGAGCACCTCATGGGCCCTAAATAACCGCACTAAGATCTCCATAAGGGCCCACGCCGGCTTCTGAGGGCCTTTTGCAGACTTTAAGGGCCCCTCGGTGGTCTCCAAAGCCCCGTTACTGGCCTCTGAGAGTTCTTATCGGCCTATGAGGGGCCAGGTCTAGGGGCATTTTCCCGCCTGTGATGGTCACACACTTATTTTTCTGAGGGCCCCATAACGGCAACTGTGGGGGCCCTCATCGGCGCCTATGACGGCCCACACCGGTGCCTCTGAGCGTTTCACACACCCAACTCTGAGTGTCTACACCAGTGCCTATTAAAGCCCTATATCGGCGGCTCTGAGGACCCAACAGTCAACACCTGCGCATCTAAAGGCCACCCACTGGTGACTTTTGAGGGCCCCACACCGGTGACTCTGAGCCCTGAGGGCCCCACCGGCGTCTGACAGTACCATGCCGGTGTCTAAGGACCCCACAAGACTTCTTCTGCCGGCCTAAGGGCCTCTTGCCGGTCACTGAGAACCCCCTGCCGGCTTGTAGAGGGTTCGCGTCAGCAGCTCAAAAGACCCCACACCCGTCTGTAACGGCTCCACACAAGCGTCTATGAGGGCCCACAGCAACGCCTGTAAGGACCCTCACCGGCGCCTCTGAGAGAATCACACTAGCACCTCTGAGCGCCCACACCGGCACCTGCATGGCGGCCCCACACCAGTGCCTCTAAAGGTCCCTTACCGGCGGCTCTGAGGGCCCTTCGCCGGTGATTCCGAGGGTGTTATCGATAACCGAAGGCACCACACAAGCCCTTATGTGTCGCTGAGCTTTAATCCCATACCGGCCTTCCGAGGGCGCTACGTCAGTGCACTCATTGTCCCACATCCCTCCCTCACACCCGGAGCGAGTAATTGTGTTATACCTACATACAGCAACGATTTTACCACCGTTGTACGTTATGTATTTATCAAAGTTGACTCAAAATGGTCCAGTATAAAATTTGGCATGCTAAACTTATGGCCAAGGCCAGGCCCAAACCAAAGCGAGATGACAATAGCAGGTGTTGTCAAATCGATACTGTATCAGCAGAAACCATTCAGATGGCTAGGAAAAGGCCGTGTGTTGATGTTTAGATGTAGGTATACCTAAAGGAAACAAGAAGGAAATAAGTCCGGAAAAGGGAGGAAAGATCCTTTCACGCTGCCTCAATGTTGAGGGGGCGCCGCCCCCTCGGCTCTCAAGTTGGGGGGGGGGGGGGGCAAGCGCCCCCGCTGCCCCCCTGTTTCCGGGTCTATGTTAGTATCTAATATGCCGCTGTCAAAACGCCCAGGGACAAGGCAGCAATGCCTGGGGACTGGGGGGTAGGAGAAAGTCCTCTCCAAAGCTTTTCTGATCCCAAACGACGTCTCCAAAGGCGCTGCATCGACGGCCTTGAGACCTCAATGATCAGTGGGCAGATATTCCCTTTGCGCGCGGTTCTGGCATTTATCGAGGTAAACATCCGTCCCTTTATGAGCAAAAGACCCACCGCTTACCGTGGACTGACCAACACGCATTTGTTCCCTGTCTCTACAAAACAAAGGCAAAAATAACCGTTCGTTAGGTATGTACGGCCCACTGCCCAGTTATCAAAACAACGACATCACGAGTCACGACAGATACCATCTAAAAGAATATCCAGACCCTTGCGGAGACCTTCGCGATCGCTAATAATGATACGGCGTTGCCATCCGTCGGCAGAATGCCTGATATTTCCGCTCCACAGCCACTTCATGTTTTGACCGCGACCCACTCCCGGAAACATCCTGACCCTGGCCAGGGCCAAAAGTTTCTGCCCGATGATGCCCCCAAGAGCTGTACCGCAACAGAAGCGGTAGGTACGTACAACTCACTATCAAAGCGGAGCGGCGGCGACAAGCGCCAAGGTGCAACACGACCGCGCCCTGCCCCGGGTTCAACCACTAATCCAGACACACGTAGCCAGCAGCACTTAATCAGATGCAGCAGCGTGTGCACATAAGCCTGCATTATCAAACATGCATCTTCAGCATGGTATGGGTGGTGTCTTCTAGCCAAATCACCCGTTCTAACACATCCACATTGACAACCTCATTTAACTCAACCCCAATTATCAATGTGCTGAGACTGACGGCACAAGCAAATGACTGAGACTTCCCAGATCACCAATGTCTTCCAGTGATTTCGTTAACAGTGCAATTCATAAGATGCCCCAGCAAGCAAAACACAAAACTGTAGAAAAAAAAATAGAGGAAAGTAGTACATTTCCTTCAAGCTCCACAACTTATTCAATTAAACATTAGCAGTCATCATGGATTCCAGGATTTGAAGGTTGTTGGATATAATTTCACCCAGACCCCATTGCTACTGGCAATGTGGTACTAGAGTGTAGAGTTTAAAATCAGCTAATCTTGTCATGTGCCAAAATTGCTTAAGTTGTCCATTTGTGCTAAAATTTATTCATCCACCTGTGTGGCAAGATTTCAGAGCATGGAGTTACGCTGGTCGCTGCATCAAAGTTTAAGTGCAGTGAGTCCACCCGCCATGCGTAACATGGCGAATCTAACATGGATTTTTTCAGTCTGGATATAGGGCTTACATAGAATCAACAAACTCACATGCTCCGATAGGTGGGCAGGAACCCACTGCTATTGCTTGACGACGCTTGGCGACGTTCAACAAGGTTTTCCACACCTATCTCTACGCAGAAGGTTGAGGCCTCACCTGGGGCCCTGGGCGGCCGTTCCTCCGCTGAGTAGACTCAGGGCGGCTCGCCAGTTCGAGACGGCGACAACCGGGGCGGGGACATCTCGACCCGCAACCTCTCCAGAGCCGCCCGCGGGGCGAATCTGCTGCTAGATTGACCAGCGTACCGCATAAATTCGGTGACAGTCTTTCGCCAAAAAAATATGTGACCACCCTGCGCCGAAAAATTCGTCCCCCGCCATACCCTGAATTCGGCGCATGCGAAGTTACGCCAGACGTGCGCTGAAATTTTCGGCGTAATCCTGCCACTACGCCGGACGTATTTGGCATAACATGTATTTTTTCCAGTCTGGGCATCAAGTAGTGTCATGCACTAAGACGGGGCCCAAGTTAATACATTTTGGCCATCTTGGTCAATAATATGAGGAAGAACATATAAAACCTGCTAGCAGATCATTAAGTTTATGATATACCCAGCCAGCAATTTTGCTCCGGGCCCAAGCAGGCTCAAGTGCGGATTGCCCGAGATTTTTAGTCGGGCTAAAGTCGGCTCGGGCTTGGGCTAAAGTCGGCGTATGACACAAAAACGCCGACTAAAGCCCATGCTCTGCCGGAGGTATGCCCGCTCTGCGAGCTCCGGACAGCCGTAGTTTAGCCCTAGTTGAGCGACGATTGGCGTTAGCCCGATTTAAGCCCGAGCAGTGAATCCATTTATATAATGGAGATTACTCTGGGCCCGAGCGGGCTGAACTCCGGCAAGCCCACTCTGTGTGCCCTGTCTATCCCGACTTAAGCCATAGAAGTGAATGGGGTTTATACATTGCAAACTGCTGTGGCTTTGCTCAGGTTCGGCTCGAGTGACGGCTCCTGTTTTCTCAAGTCTCGACTTGACTTCATCTTGCTTTTGCTTCACACTGGATCAAGTAGCAAGGAGCAGCCAATGCACTTTCAGCAGGTTGTGCGGTTTCAATGCATATTTAAAATTGTTACGGTCGCTCATATGCTCTGTTAACCGGTCATCGAGCATTGCGAAAGGAAAGTAGTGGTTGACTTTGATAGTGAATGTATATTATAAACGACTACAGACACTCAAATGAAACACAAATACATGAAACAGTGGAGTGCAAACTGCAGCAATAATATGACATAAGTCATGAAAAAGCGCCATCAAAACTAGGCATAAAACAATCAAAGGCCCGCTAGCCTCCTTCCCCGTTCATAATAATTGGTTGAACACTCAACCGAAAGCATAAAGTAAGGACAGCAAGTAATCGCTCATAAGACATAAAGCAATTAGCAAACAATCGTTTATAAGGAATTTCACTCTGGTGAATGGGAGCTTTGCAGGCGTCTGGCTCCTCCACACATATACACATCTGCAGTAGGTGGTAGGCCAGCTTTCGGCGCAGTTTCAGTATAATGTAGGTATACCTACCTACTTAATTATAAGCAGGCAGTTTCCGCTAAACCACTTGGCGAGGGCGACTGCGGCGTCCACCCGGTCCTGGTTTGTATAACTATTCCATTTTTTTGGAACCATTTGCTCTAATGGTACGTACCTGAAAAAGAGATTAATTGGTTTAATTTACATTGCATGTTTGCTTGAAAAATAACTTATTGTTGCATTAATACTGTAAAAGCACTTCTCATTGATCCGTATAAAATGATCATTCGATTTTCAACGCGGACAGAGAATGAGCGTGCTCGGTGATAAGTAGATAAATATTTGTGTTTTGTATTTCATTTTCCTGGTTCAGAAGTGCTGGTATTTCACAAAGATATGAAGGCACGGAATGCGGCTTTTCTGAGCGAGGGTATAAATCGCCAGGCTGAACAGCTATTCAGCTTCATGTTTGATGGCGTGAAACTCAGTCAAAATCATGACGTTTACATACGATCAAGCGCACCATTCAATACACTTACCTACCGTAAAACTCCATGCCAGTCCACGTGATAAGAGCAGTGAGCACTATCCCTTCTTCGCGCTGTCACACGCGCCCAAACATCAACCACCAAATGCCCCAACAACGGTGTGTCGTTTCGTCGCACAGCGCACAGACTGTCACAAACGCTGCACATGATTGGCGCAGAGCTGCGCATGCGCGAACAGCCGAACAAGTATGGCTAGGCTCCGGCTTTACTCCAGTTAGCCGAAGGACACAGCCAGCTTGATCAGCCCGCGCTCCACCCAAGTTAAGCCTGTTTTGGATGCGCGGGCAGATGTCGGGCTGAGCTACTGCTATCCGCACTTGGGCATAGCTGCGGCATGCCCCAGCTCAGCCCTAGTAAAAATGCATTGGTTTTGATCAAAGTGGGCAAACCCAAGCTAAGCCCAAGCTGCCCAACGTTTGCCACAGTTCAGCCCAAGCGAATTGCTGGCTGGGAGGTATACCGGTATACCTACGTACCTACTCACTTTACTTGAAGTTCTCAACATTTGCATATGATCATGCAACCGCATCACTAAGAACCACTGATGACTTAACACAGATCAGTATTTCATCTACTTAAGTGACATTCATTAAGATATTACCAAAAGCATGTGCAAATAAAAGGGTCAATACTGAACTACTGACAGTAGGGTAACTGTGGGGAAAACGCACCCCTGGGTTAAACGCCTCCCCTAAAAAAAATCGTATTTCTTATCGACGGGTAGGTGTTTTATCCTGTCTTTCAGAACAGTCAGCTGCTTGTTTACGTAGGTCTCTATTTCCGGTTCTGCGTCTTGAGGAGCAGCGTGGGTAGGTGCTGATGTTGGTTTTGGGTGTTGTTTTTGTTGTTTTTACAGAAGATTCCTAAGATTTTGATGCCCTCTTTATATCACAAAACTTGCTATTGTGCACGTCACTCAAAACTGCGTTTTATTGTCATTCTGTTGAATGTATTATGCTGCGGCGTTAGTGGCGCGTTTTTTGTCAATATTTTGTTGACCGGAAATGGAGTGGATGGGGCAAGACGCCTACTCGATGCATGGGGCAAGACGCCCCCAGTTTTCTGAAAGGGGGGCGTTTTGCACGGTGGCGAGAGTGCAGGGTAGCGCCCTATAGGTCGGGGCCGAAAAGGCCTCTCCCTGTCCTTTTTTGCTGATATATCCTAAACGACTGCAGATATCGTCACCAAACTTTCAGGACTCCTCCGGGCATCCATTTTACACATTGCAACAAAATTTTATTCCAAAGGCTATGATAGGTTGACCACAAATGACGTCAGAATGGCGTCAAGTTCTGCCATGTTCATCATTTTCTGTTGATGGATGGGGTGGGGGCGCTTTGCACATGGGTGTGGGCGTATTACCCAGGGTATGGGGCAAAACGCCCTTTTGTAAGGGTATGCGAAAACCTTTTTGGGGGGTTAAATACCACACGCAGGTGTCTTTTCTTGGTCTCAAAGCGTAGTAAAAAGAATGAGCTACATGATGGTGCCCAAAGGTTAAAGTAATATGTGTTGGGTCGAGTGTCAGAAGGTTTTGCGCTTAAGGGGGGCGTTTTTGACCTATTCACCCTAAGTTGGCCAGTGAGGTGTTCTTCCCAATTTTTAATATTTCATTGAAAATTAGAGCTAATGTCCTCTGGTTTACACTGTCACATGAAGAAATGCATGCAGAACTAGAAACATAGCGAAAATCTCCATTTCCAAACTTACCTTGAGCCTATTCAGATAAAATTAATATAAGAAAACATACCAAGAAACATACCACGCACAGCAATCTCGAAAACTCGAAAACAATTACAACACACTGGAAAATTGGGAAATGTCTGAAACCTGTTTGCACTTCGCTAGCTGCAAGCCAATCTCGGCATTTCATTGGTGGAGTGAGCGCTGGGTGCGCGATTCACCAATGAAAAGCCAAGAGTCGCCGGCAGTTTGCTTCCATATATGGAAAACTAGCAGCATGAAGCATGAACGAACAGCACTAAGCCAAGGCCACTAAGCAAAAGACGAACTGGCGCTTTAGATACAAAATAAAATTGCTAGACAGCTGAGAAGTGACACACGTTAGCTAATTTCTTCGCTTTGTAGCTAAGGTATATTTGATATGCCAGTTACAGTGTCGCTTAGGTTTAAAATTTGGTTGAGCATCATTTTACCTTTGAAATAAATATTTACCGTCAATTATGAGATGACTGCTGGCCGGTCTCAGCCTCTATCTACTTCTTTGCAGCGGAGGCACCACCCGGCGCCTTACCAGCCCTCGCCCCTGTATGTCGCCAGATGGCGGTGTTGGCGCTGCTGGGGGCGCTGCTGCTGCTGCTGGCCGGCGCTCGGCCCAGGTCCGTCACCCAGGAGGACGTCGACCGGCTGCTGCGCGACCTGGAGGACTCGTACCGCACACAGCTGGAGAAGGACCGACACAATTCGCCGGACTTCCGCAATGCTCTCAGTCAGTATCATCAATCAGTGCCGGAGATGCTCGGTTGGTTATGCGGAATGCTAGCGTTCCTTAGGGCTTTTCTGGGAGCCTGGGTCGTTTCTGGCAGTTTTTTTCTCGAAATAGCTGGACCGAATTTCCAAATTTAAAACACCATCAATATTCCCATCGAAGATCTACCAAGTGGCAAAAGGTCACTGATCTCGGTGCTCCCCATAACGTTACTCATCAATTGAACCGTAAAAACATTTTTCACCGTCTGCGATAATTAACCCTCGCTGAACCTATTAGTTTTCTACGTATTGGCCGAGGGAGAGGATTGGTGGAGCCCATCTCGCCGTTTCACCTCTAACTGAGCTAGAGTATCTAAAAAAAAACGAGCGTGTGCGCCGTTGCGAGACCCATCGAATGGTATCCGATTTTTAAAGTCTCGGGTCAACCAGTGACCTGTTAGATCAGGTTAACCCGCGCACCGACGGGGGGGCGGATATCCGCCCCCCCCCCTGAGGTTTTTCGCGAATAGCGGGAAAACCGCGGCGCGTAGCGCCGCGAAATTTGGTATGACTATTCCCTTATCAATTTTACACATGGTGTGCAAGTTTGAGCCTCCTACCTTTCAAGGTCAGGTCACCAGGTCACTTTGAATGACCCAACCTCAAGTCACTTTTTTGCAACTTTGTCACCGTGCCAGAGCTACAGTAGATGTCGGAGGCCTTTGAAAGTCGCAGGATGTTATTAGGTCATTAGTAGCTACAATTTGTATATCTCGGAATTTTGATATCGGTGACCTAAGGTCAGGTCAATTTCGCGACCTCCCATTATAAGTCAATGGGGGAAAAATCAACTCCCTGTTTTTACCACTAAAACGGGTCGGAATGGCCCCATATACCATACATGACTTCATATACGATCAACCTTCACTACCTTGAGGTCTGTTTTGCTGTTGGGCAGCTGTGAGGTCATGTGACGTCATCAAAGGTCACCAAAGGTTTTTGGCCAATAACTCCGTACAGGAACAAGATACAGACGCGTGGATGGTCTCATTGTGTTCAGCTCGTCAAGACGCATCGAATGATATACATGATGACCTCGAGGTCACGTGACCTAAGGTCAACCTTTGACCTTGACCGTCAACATATATATCATTCGATGCGTATTGACGAGAGGATCACGATGATGCCCTTAGTTTGTTTCTATCTTGACTAATTCGAAAGTTATTCGAGAAAAACTCTCTCCATATTTAGCGCCGCCATTTTGACTTTTTCGACCCCTGTGACGTCATCTTTGACCTGACCTGAAAATGACCTTTGTATAAATTGTAGATCTTTACCGTGCGTATCCGATGCCGTTTACCGCTTGTCGCTATTTTGCTTCGTTCTCGAGATCTGAGGGGGGGGAGGTCATCCGCCCCCCCCCCCCGTCGGTACTAAGTTGGCGCAGACCCCCGTCGGTGCGCGGGTTAAGTGTTCCAAGATTGGACCTTGGGCCAAACATGGTCGCAGGGCTACCGGTTCGGTTGAGGATCATTGTGTTCGCCATGTTCAGGCGCGTCGAATGACGAGGGTTTGCGTGTTCCAGCTGGGGAGCTGGAGAGCCCGTTCGACCGTCTGGCGGAGGAGCTGGAGGATGCAGACTCAGAGGTCAGCGCCGGCCTCTACGAGGGCGACATCGCCGGCGCGCCCTTCCAGGTGGGCTGTCTCACACACTGTCACAGGGTCATAGTTTCACGGTGTCACATTGTCACAGTATCACAGCGATACAGTGTCACAGTGTCACAGCGTCATATTGTCACAGCGCCACAGTGTCACAGTGTCGATTTCACCGTGCCACAGTGATACAGTGTCACAGTGTCGGTATCACAGTGTCAGACCGCACTGCTGACCCACCGACAACTGGAGACTGCAACTATTAGAAAGAAAATAACACCAGGGGCTTCCCGCTTCATTGAAATAAACGTATGCGCTGTAAAAAAAACGTTTTAAATCTCACTTTTCACTTCACCGAAACAGAGCATGCAGGAGTAACTATTATCTAATTATTGCAAATATCAAAATTATATTTTCGTTATTCAAAAGAAATGTACCTACATCATTTAAATCTCCTTTCCATGTGAATTGAAACAATGTTCCGTTGAAGTGTGTCACCAGGTATCCCTCTCACACAACCTCCTATTGTCACTCCGGAAGCTCGTGGTGGTGTTACCGAGTGATGACGGCAGCTGTTCGGCGGCCTGGTGCGGTGACAGTGACGCCCTGTGTTTTCAGCTGTCTCAGTTCAGGGTGGCACTCAACCCGGACGAGTTCCCGACACGCCGCTGGGACACCGGCGTTGTGCCCTACGTCATCAGTCCCAAATATAGTGAGTGACGACAGCCGTGTGCACCAGTTACAGGGTTCAGTTTGTTCGGCTATGCCGAGCATTTGTGATACGGTTTAGATGTCTTTCGATAATTATGTTGTTCAGGTAGATACTTTTATCCTTGAAGACGTCACATAGCCTGAAATGAGCCTTCGTTTCGGAGCAACGGAAACGCCGTTCGATCTTTCAAATAGAACTCAAGGGTATGAAATACATTAACCCGCGCCCTGCTGGGGGGGGGTGTTTGAACACCCCCCCCTTGTGGTTTTACGCGAATATCTCAAAAACGGCGGCGCGGAGCGCCGCCGTTTTTGGTACACCTTATCATACATCAATTCTACACATGTTGTGAAAATTTCAGACCAAGGTCATTCAAGGTCAGGTCACCAGGTCACTTGAAGTGACCTCACCTCATAAAAAGTTTCAATGTCTGTCATAGCTACACCGAGTGACCGATCGCTTTGAAACTTTCAGCGATTGCTAAGGGCAATAGCATGTACAAAATGTATATCTCAGAATTTTGATATCGATGACCTAAGGTCAGGTCAATTTTGCGACCTCCCCATTATAAGTCAATGGGAGAAAATTGAAATGCGCCTCTTTTGGACAAAAGACATTATAAACACTCCCAAACATCGAATTACAAGTGGTTTAGGCACACTGAACATGAAAATGGTGTCCGTGACCCTTGTTTATGCCCTGAGGTCATCTTAGGTCACGAATGGTATCTAACAGTTTTTCGCAAATAACTTTTGATAGAGGCATGCTAGAGCGATGAAAACGCCTTAGATGTGTTCAGCTCGACGATACGGATCGACTGATATGCAACATGACCCTCTCCGGTCAGGTCATGACCTTGACCTGAGGTCAAATTTTCAAGTTGACCTTTCAAGGTCAAGTTATAGTTCATTCGATGCGTCTTGACGAGAGGAACACGATGCCGGTAAAAGTAACCTCGTACAAGGCTTGAGTCGACAGTTACTGCAGAAAAACTGTTTCCGAAAAAATCGGCTATTTTTGCAGTTTTTGCCCCCTGCAGGCAAAACCGTTGACGTTAGGTCAAATCTGAGAGAATTACTCAGAAAGGGCTTTAATAGGGCTATCGAATGCGCTTTTCCGCGGCGCTGTAGCTCTATTGGTTCTCGGGTTATGCGTTGGCTTCTTGGAAATTTTCGACATTTGACCTGGAAATCGGCGAAATTTTACCTTCAATGACCTCTGGTGCCCTGACCTTTGACCTGACCAAAAAATTGACCGAAGTGATTTCGTCATTATTTTTGACGCTCTTTCGAACGCCGCCTTCCGCGTATCGCTACGTGGCCCAGGAGCCGAGTTACAAGGGGGGGGGTGTTCAAACACCCCCCCCCCCCCAGCAGGGCGTGGAAATCCAGGACCCCCAGCCGGGCGCGGGTTAAAGAACTAAAATAAATGAATAGTTGGAGGTGTGAAGATTGGTTGGGTGTGGATAGTGTAGATGTGCGTTTGGAAAACAGCATGAGTACTTGATAGATGGGCTGATCGATTGACTGAATGGCTTTCATTTCAGAGATGAAGGAAAAGTTATTTATAGAAGACGCCATAAGAATACTGAACTTCATGACAGTGCATCAAATTCGTTCCTTGGGATGGCGAGGCAAAGGACTATCTGGTTATATGGCCCGTCAAAAAGCCAGCCGGGTAAGACGTTTTACAACATTGTTATATCGAAATAATAAAAGTAAATAATGCGAAAGGACAATTCAATGTAAAATAATAATGGCAATTGTGAAACATATTATACCAATGATTAATGAATTCAGCATTGTATTTTTATTGACATAATCTTTCTATTCTCAGGTGCTGGTCGTTTATTGGTAAACTGGGCGGTGCCCAGATCGTCTCGCTTCAGCCGCCCGACAAAAGGTCCAAACGGTGCTTTGTCGCCATTGGGAAACCCGTGCACGAAATAATACACGCGCTCGGTTTCTTCCACGAGCAGTCGCGCTTCGACCGTGACCAGCACGTGTTCATCATAAAGAAAAACATCATACCGCGTACGTAAAAACATGGCAATGAGCCCCAGCTGCCAAACGGTAATTTTGCGCCAGTGGGTGAATTTTAACCACGATTTTAATCCTATCATATTTTTCTCAGCGAAGAAGCTACAATGTATGCGTATCAACCATGTCATAATGAGCTTAATTAGTTGGATGTCATCGATGAATTTGAGTTTTATTTATTTCTTTATTCATTTATTCATTTATTTATTTATCTACCTATTTATCTATTTATTTATTTATTAATTAATTTATTTATTTATTTATTTATTTATTTATTTGTTTATTTATTTATTTATTTGTTCAATTTTACCTACAGGTAGGCAGAGTAGGTATTTTCAATAAATTAGGTACGTATCATCGTTTAAATTACCGACTACAGTTAACTGATATGAGCCAATTCAAGGATATGGAAAAGGATACAGGCAAACTTAACACTATTTAGTTCAGTTGTTGCATTCACATTTATGATCACAGCACTAGCTATTCGCCGTTTGACAGCCTTTTGTCTACCGTGAGACATGGATGGCTTTTGTCCCTGCTGTGCAATAGCTCTGGCCGATCTGGCTGTGCCTGTTGGGTGACAGCGATGGATGTCTGCTCTGTCCCGGGTGCTGACGGGCTGGGACCGTATAGGCTGCGCCCCGGCTCTCAGTGATATCCGATGTCGGTCGGCCCCTGTGCACCTGTCCGCGCCCGAGTGGAGGGCTACCCACACAATGGAGCGCCGTGCTGACCAGGCGCGGTCCAACCCCCGCGCCCTGCAGTCGTGTCACGTGCCGGAGGTCGCCCCGCAATGGCCGATCACTCAGAGATCCATAGCCGCTGCTTGCGTCAGAACAAAACACCCTATATTGCATTGCAACACTCCATTGCATTGTCATTTCCATAAGCGATGTTTAAACGTCTCACATTGCGTGAATGTTTAAGTCCACTACGAGAAACAAATGATTTCATGTATTTAGTCATCATTCACCATGCCACTGAAACACTCCCTAGTGCGTATTTTCGGAGGTGTGCACAATGCACATTGCACCACACAATATAAGCAGTTAAGCATTTTAAGCATAAACAATTTAAGCATGAGTATTTTATATAAAAAAGTAGAACAATGCCTATTAGATGACTCTACAGAAATGTTTCCGTAGAATAAATGATGAAGGTGTGCAAGTAATAAATATTATATAAGAACGCTGTTAATAATCAGATGCCAAGCATCCCACCGGTTATTATCCGACATTTTATTCTATTTTCAGGATTCCTAAACAACTTTGAAAAGCACGCAGCCGTTAACACCACCATCGAGTACGCCTACGATCACACAAGCGTGATGCACTACGGAGCCAAATTCTTCAGGTGAGTAGATATATAGATCGACACTGCATATATCTAATACCTACAGCATGCCGGCAACAGCCTTGGTTTGGTAGGTCTCCAAGCGCTTAGCCTGGTAAGTTTCGAGTCCGGTAACATTGTAACCTGTTTTGCATTACAACATGGATTTGGACTTGTCACCGTGCATTGTATGTTAATCACCGGTGTTTAGCTTTAACGTTAACCCGCGCACCGACGGGGGTCTGCGCCAACTTAGTACCGACGGGGGGGGGGGGGCGGATGACCGCCCCCCCCTGAGATCTCGAGAACGAAGCAAGATAGCGACAAGCGGTAAACGGCATCGGATACGCACGGTCAAGATTTACAATTTTTACTAAGGTCATTTTCAGGTCAGGTCAAAGATGACGTCACAGGGGTCGAAAAAGCCAAAATGGCGGCGCTAAATATGGAGAGAGTTTTTCTCGAATAACTTTCGAATTAGTCAAGATAGGAACAAACTAAGGGCATCATCGTGATCCTCTCGTCAATCCGCATCGAATGATATATATGTTGACCTCGAAAGGTCAAGGTCAAAGGTTGACCTCAGGTCACGTGACCTCGAGGTCATCATGTATATCATTCGATGCGTCTTGACGAGCTGAACACAATGAGACCATCCACGCGTCTGTATCTTGTTCCTGTACGGAGTTATTGGCCAAAAACCTTTGGTGACCTTTGATGACGTCACATGACCTCACAGCTGGCCAACAGCAAAACAGACCTCAAGGTAGTGAAGGTTGATCGTATATGAAGTCATGTATGGTATATGGGGCCATTCCGACCCGTTTTAGTGGTCAAAACAGGGAGTTGATTTTTCCCCCATTGACTTATAATGGGGAGGTCGCGAAATTGACCTGACCTTAGGTCACCGATATCAAAATTCCGAGATATACAAATTGTAGCTACTAATGACCTAATAACATCCTGCGACTTTCAAAGGCCTCCGACATCTACTGTAGCTCTGGCACGGTGACAAAGTTGCAAAAAAGTGACTTGAGGTTGGGTCATTCAAAGTGACCTGGTGACCTGACCTTGAAAGGTAGGAGGTTCAAACTTGCACACCATGTGTAAAATTGATAAGGGAATAGTCATACCAAATTTCGCGGCGCGTAGCGCCGCGGTTTTCCCGCTATTCGCGAAAAACCTCAGGGGGGGCGGATATCCGCCCCCCTCCCCCGTCGGTGCGCGGGTTAAATATCAACTTCGAGCAACAACAAAAGAAGTACACGAACGGACTAGGCACCGTAATGGGCACATGTTCACAAAAACAGTCAGCACCACTGTCCACTGATCACCGGGTCTGACTTCGCATACGATTGGCTGCCCTATCTTACCTTCATCATCTGCCATCAGTATCGACCGTCGATCACCGACCATGGTGCCCCTGAGGAACAACACCATCATCGGCCAGCGGAACGGCATGTCGGTGCTCGACTGCTTCAAGGTGAACTCGTACTACGGCTGCCTGAACCGGTCGCCGTACGAGCGGCTCAAGTACAGCAGCATCTGTCAACTGATGGGAGTCAGAAACAACGAGGCCTCGTTCAACGGCTTCTAGGAAACAGACCTGAGCGGCCGCGCGTGCGTCGGTCGCTCCTGTCGGGTGCTTCTCTCGTCATTCTTCGCTCCCGTCGAGTGCTTTTCTCACCATCCCCCGCTCGCTCTCGTGAGATGCTATTCTCTCACCTATTTCCCGCGTGTTCCTGTGAGGTGCTCCTCTTATCCGTCCAATGTTCGACGTGGTTCCTTATAGAAGCTCGCCAATGGACTCGAACAATCGCCATCGTGTGCCTGATTGAAGTCGTAGTACGTGTATGATGTATGCACTTACTATTTTCATACGCCGGCATGCATTTCCGACAATCACATATTCAGAAGAGAAAGAGAGAGAGAGAGAGAGAGAGAGAGAGAGAGAGAGAGAGAGAGAGAGAGAGAGAGAGAGAGAGAGAGAGAGAGAGAGAGAGGAGAGAGAGAGAGAGAGAGAGAGAGAGAGAGAGAGAGAGAGGAGAGAGAGAGAGAGAGAGAGAGAGAGAGAGAGAGAGAGACGAATACAGCTGCCAGGCGGGTGTCATGCATAGATTGTGCAGTTTTCTGCCGTACCGCAGTGGTGCCGGGCTGCCGGGCTGCAGTGGTGCGCGTTTAGACATTGCCATAATTACACATACGAGTATGTATTTACTATGTTCCGAGGAGGGATGCCACTGCCCGTAAGCCATTCAGCAATCAGCCTAACTAGCTGGACTGCTGGCTGAGAGCTGGCACGATTGGTGCGTTTTATGTCAGGCGCATTGAAGCACTACACTGAGGCATTGAGGCACTTCTCGAATATAGGCACTGCACTCTGCACTATTCACTACACAAAAATGTCTAGCGACTTGAAATGCATTTCTATTCTATCAATATGTGCGAGTGACGCCCCGAGGGCATTTGCTTAATCGTACTGTTTTATGTGTTCTTATCTTTATTCACATGCACACAGACTTCTCTATATATGGACTGTGCGCTGATTTGGGAAATCAGCATTGGAAGCCCAAATTTCTGAAGCCGTAATATGAACCCATATGTTGTAACACAATACCCTTTTATTGTTTCCTGTCGACAGGCTGAATTTTATGTAATATATTTTGTTTTTGTACTATCTATTGCTCGTAGCTCAGAATAAGAAAGGCTTCTGGTCGATATGAATATGTATTGGAACAACATTTCACGTTCATCGACACCCATTGATGTCCTCATGTCAAGTTCATCTCACATTGCACCAGTGGGCTTGAAAATGGCGTTAGTCCATTTTCACCGCGGGATCCAGCGAGAAAGGGTGATTATCATCCCTTTCTTCTTCCCCCGTGTGCTGGATTGTTCACATCTCTGACATGGCTGGCTACAAACTCGCGCGACAGTGCACCGACCGCGCTGTGGTAAAGGTTGGCGGTAATGCCGATGGGGGACTTTACGGGAAAATGTGTGTCTGCTGCAACGGTGTCTTCACTGTTCCTCTCTGCTACCCACTTTTTCGCACCACGCATCTACACATAGTCGCACTTTCACACATTCGCACATGCGCATCACCAATTGCAACGTATCCCTCCGTCTGCTCGTTTTCCACTCGCTGCTGAATGATAAGGCGATAGCTCTTGTGACGGTCGTTCCCATCACGTTGTCATGCTGTAGCTATTGTTGCTTTTATTGTGTCCCTTCGTCCCATGGAGACGTAGCCGAGCAGCTCTGAAGGGACCTGTGGGCGGCCCCCAGGGCCACCACGATGCTGCCGCTCCGCACCTCCTCCATGTTGGGGTTGATGGTCGCCATCAGGCGATGTCGGGTGCCCATCAGAGCCGGGCACCGCAGGAGGACATGCTTGGGCTGTCCGCCTCCTCTCAGCAGACGGGTAGAGTGCGGCTCTGCATTGTCGGTCGTCGCACTGGTTGCACCCCGACAGCCAGGAGGGCGCCAACCCGACTCTGTGGCGCCATTGGGAGGAGCTTGTCCAGTGGCCGGCGCGGAGCTGGTGGATGTCCACCGCCGCTGGCCGGTCGCCGCCGGCAACGGTAGGCGGGAGTCGATCCCCGTCAGCTGGTGGAACCAGCCGGTTGGCCAGGCCCCGACGGTGCGAGCCCTCGCCACTCTGGCGGCGGCCCAGTGGGCCTTCTGGACGTCTATAAGGATTTGTTTTTAGTCGAGTATGTTTGCCTTCTTGGCGATGGTGTCGGCCCTCTCGTTGCCTTCCAACCTGCATTGTGAGGGCACCCACTGTAGGTAGACCAACAGGCCTCCAGCTGTCCGTCCCCAGAGGGCTCTCCAGATGTCCACTCCGAGCGAGGAGTGCTGGGCGGCCCAGCCACCTCGGATGGCGGCGAGGGCGGACTGCGAGTCGGTGCAGGTTACGATGGTGTCTTCGGCGTGCGGCGGGTTTTCCAGCAGCTAGGAGAGAGCAGCTCGGAGGGCGACCATCTCAGCTCGGAAGCTGGAGCACAGGTAACCTGCCGGGGCGCGGATCGAGTGCTCTTCCCCGTTCGGCCAAACGATTAGTGCCCCCGGCGCCTCCATCATATTCTGTAGCTCGTTAGTTACAGTATGCTCTTCGCCCTTGGCACATTTCTTGGCTTCTCCATCAAAATGTCCACAGCTGGCCTAGAAATGGTAACCTGCCAGTTTCCTGAGATATCCAAAGTAGAAGTTCCTGTAATAACAGGCCACCACCGGCACAGATGTTTGTCCCAGCTACTTATACTCCAATCAGCCCTATGCATCTTGTTCTGCTCCACCGCTATTTTTCCGTCCGTTCTTCGCAGACTGGCGTATTCTTGAGCTTCCCGATCCCGATGCAAGTTTTGCGGTAACATTTAAGAGCGGCAACCTTCGTCGTTTAACATTGATGCGAAGGGTACGAATTCCATCATTTCATCGAGCATTCTTCCGAGATGATTTGATCCAGACCATAATGAACTACAACCCCATACGACACACTGGATAAACTTCATTGTTTGATTGAATAAGCTTACTTCTTTTGGATGTAGTGGCGTATCACTGCCATGGGTATGGCATTATTTAGCGCGGCGTAGCTTCGAACTGCGATGGCGAGTTGTTCTTTTCACATTAACTGCTGGTCAAGTTAAGTCTTTGTAGCTCCTTTCAGTGAGTCTTTTTTTCTCCAGAATAAAATAAGGCACTAGCCACTAGGCATTATAGGAAGTATGCTGAGACTGGCGCCGTCGATAGCGTCCTGTTTTTCTTCTTGCTGTGTGAGTCTCACAGGAGTCAGTGTTTGCAAAAGTAAACTTGCAAATCTGATTGTCCTCAGCGTTATCTCTTATCTCGATTGATGGTTTCGTCTGTGAACATTTTTTCCTTTTAGTTATACGGGAGGCTAAAAAGTTGCCTTTTTGCTAGAAATTATGTTTTGTTTCACATTTTCTTGCCCTGACTCTGGCTTGATACCCGGAATGACATCTTCGCACCACACGTTTTCTGATCCGGTCGTGATGAGGTAGTGATCGATAATATTCTTTCCTTTTTTGACCATTTTTTTCGAGCTATTTCTTACTTATTTTTACTGCTTCTTGTGGCCCTATAAATGTATCGTTATTTCTCAAAACCCTTTTCAAAACCAACGTAAATGACTAGTTCCGACAAATTAGCAACGACAACCAACAATGCAACCAACATTCAAAAGCAAGAAAATGCGCGCAAAGTACGGCTGCATTTGTGAAGTATATACCTCCAGCGTGAACAAATGGCTAACTGAACGAGAAAACATGTTCTCATTTATATGCATTTATTTCTTATTTATTTTGAATTCAACAAAAAATGTAATCCGACAGGTAGATAAAAGTATGGGCTATCCTATATCGAAATTTGTAAATATTCTGACACCCTTTTCATTGTAAAAAGATGGATAAAAGTGCACTTATTTTTGGGCCTCCAATGCTGATTTCCTCGGATCAGCGCACAGTCCATATATAGAGAAGTCTGTGACATGCATTATCATATTCGGAGTGTAGTTAGCGACCTGCTATGCATCCTGTTTGAAAATCGTCAGTGCGAATGTTACGCAGGCGTGTCGCTGTGAGATGCTTTTTTCTGTCTATCGACGTCATTGGAATGAGCAAACGAACAAGACGTAAATAAACAACCTCAACATTCAACAGTCATGTGTATTTTACCGTGGGAGGGGGGAGGGGAGGGGCAGGGGCTCAGCTACCACCGGAATCCGATGGAAACATGCATATGTCATAAGGAATTGGTAGCAAAGTCAGCTGACATTTCACGCAACGATTTCAACATAAAAGCAGGAATGTAAGAATAGGATCGACAATTTCATGATGTACAGTTGCCAAGCAACAGACTCAATCCATCTGTATCGACTGTCAACTTCAATCATATTGTGCGGCGGACTGAATTAGATGAATGCTGCTGAGCGTTCATAACGTGCGTAAATACATTGCACCCTGTGGGTAGGTACTAGGTACAGGTTAATGACTAGAGATGTCAATCGGATACCAACTTTTTGGTATACCGATACCAAACCGATACCAACTCGGTATTTGGTATTTTCATCCTAATGTGTTTGGCATTTTGTTGGTATCATGACCCCTCGCTAATGTTTAAGAGGCTAAGAAATCGGTAAAAAGTTGGTATTTCCCTCATGTTCCCAAGTTGGTTTGGTTTCGGTATTTCTCCACGGTTTTGGTTGGTATTTGGTTTGGTATCGGTATTCCGATTTTCCGTAATTGACATCACTAATAGGGACTTTTTATTCGCCGTTCGGGCCTCGGCACTGGCAGCCGCCGCCTGGTACGGTACTGGTAGACTGTGCCGCATGATTTGAAAGTCAAGCGGGTCGGCCTAACTGTACGCTGTTTGACAGTTGACACTGTCCCGTGTCGCCGGATTCATTGCATTGCCTGATAACACCTCTTCAGCCTTAGGTCTGATCGGCTTTTTTCTCCAGGCAAGACATCAACGACACCCATAACAGTCGTCCCAGCTCAGTGGAATAATGGTGGGCTCCTGACGCTGCCGGTAGTGACAACCCGGTTCGAGCCGCAGTGGGCACAAATGATTTGTTCTTCGTTGGGTTGGATTGAGATGAGTTGATTGTTATTGGCGGCTGCGAGCCAATTATGTTGGCGTCCCGCTTATATTTTTCATGTTTATAAGCATTATCATAAATAGCATGCAAGTGGTCAAAGGACAAAGGCAAAGGGGCTCGAGCCTATTTGTTGAGCAACACAATCAGACAATGCGACAATGGACCGCACTCGCCCAGTCCCGGGCCCACGGACGCGCCCCACATCATCCTCCGGCCAACGTCAGCCGCCGAGTCGCGCTAAGTCAACAGGCTCTACCCCCCTCCCACCGCTGGTCTGACGCAAGGGCCAGTCCACAAAGCGTTCCATCCAGCGGCCCAGGACGATGTCAAATAGCGTATAGTTAGGCTGACCCGCTTAACTTCCAAGTCATGCGGCACAGTCTACCAGTACCAGGCGGCTGCTGTCAGTGCTGAAGCCCGGGTCAACAGCGAATAAAGAGTCCCTGTCGGTTAACCTGTACCCGACTGGACTAATCATCCAAAAAGGTGGTATGAATGGAAGTGACGGGAAGTTATCCTTCGTGATCCCCTGCCTTTTCCGGTGATGTCATTCACCTACATAGTTAGCTGAGTCGTGTGCCCTGGTGAGACAGTGCAGTGGACGGCCGGATCTTTCCGTCGGTCACATGACGCCTGGTCCACTCAGCAGCGGGTCGAACGAAACATCACCGGTCAGCAGGGACGGATGACCGGGGCCCGCCCCCCGGGTACGCTGTGTCGGTCGGCGCGGCGGCCCCCGCAGTGTCCGCCGGCGGCGCAGCTAGCCAGCAGGTCCCTCCGGTGTCTGTCCACGCTGCAGGGACTGCTCCTCACCAGCGACATCACACTCACAGAGGGACGTCCCGTGGTACTGATCGGTCCGGCTTACAGGTGAGATAGC